GCTGCAAAACAAATACGCACAACACCATCTCTCTCTTTGTCTACAAACACTCAACACAAAACATGAACACGAGGCATGCAAATTTTATACATATACACCCAACATAATCTCCATCCACAGACGCACACACACACATATTCTCCCCTCCTCCCCCTTCTAATGCTGACGGAAGAGATTTACAGGGCAGTGGAACAAAAGAGCGGGTTACACCGAGTTCAAATCATCATATGGTGAAAAAGCCCTGTGTTTCATTAGCAACTCAGCACAGCCAAGCCACGTAGACACACATGCACACGACTTAAACAGCAGCATAAACAGAACTCTGGAGAGGGGTCTGTCCATCTGATGCACAGAAAACAAGAGGTTACACTTTAAACACCCTGGGGTCAAGAGGGGGAGTTGTGACTTGTTTAGAGGAGACATGTTTACTGTGACTCTTTTAGGTCCCGTGAGGACCGGCATGTGTTCTCCCAACCAGCTGAGAGCGGTCGTCTGCGGGACAGTCAACGCCAGGGTGAGTAAAACGACACCGGCTTTTGAAATCATAAGGGGCCTACTTGGATTTCACACTGAGTATGTCCCCCGCTGCAGTAAATATAACAGCAAAAGAGCTCTGCAACACAAAAGCAAGCAAGCCTACACACGCACACACTGTTAAAAGAAAGGAAACCATATAAACCTTTAGAGAGACAAAAGATGAAGGACTAAGCATTTGGTGAGGATGAATATGCAGGGAGTATGTGAAGCTATATTCAGACAAACTAGTCAGAGAGTATATTTTTGGAGAGATTTGTTTGTTAGCCGGTCTGCAGACTTGCACATTATCACTGAAACCACAAATTCCACACGCTGCATTGTTATCCTGCACTATATCAGAAAGGGACTCTCTTTACTCTGTAATACACTTTCAGACAGACAGACAGACAGACAGACAGACAGACAGACAGACAGACAGACAGATAGATAGATAGATAGATAGATAGATAGATAGATAGATAGATAGATAGATAGATAGATAGATAGATAGATAGATAGATAGATAGATAGATAGATAGATAGATAGATAGATAGATAGATAGATAGATAGATAAAGATCAGCTGAAGAATGTGAGCGGTGGCCATCATAATTCAATTTTCATGTTTTACATGCAACTGTCCATACTACAGACAACATACTGCTGAAAACACACACAGCATAAAAAATCAAAGCATGTATAACAATGTAATTTTCCCTTCATTTGTATTCTTATACAAAAATCTGTGCAACGTACCAAGACATAAACGAGAATGGGAAATATTCACACTCTACACATATACTGCATACTGATGAGTTATGGTATTTAAATCAGATGAATATGAAGAGCTGTTTGTCAAAAGACTCCTGAGGTGACATAAACGTTCATATTTACATTCATATTCATCATGTGTTCACCTGCAGCTGCTTCTAGCATTCATATTTTTCTCTTGCACTAACATCAATAAAATAATGAGCGTGTCAGCTGGCTTCTGGATTAAGATGCGTCCGGTATAAGAGTGTGTGTGTGTGTGTGTACTTGAGAAAAAATGTCTGTCCTTAATCACTAAAAACGGATAAAGATGCCTGCCGGGAGTGGCAAAACAGGGGCTGCTGATGTGTGACTGCGTGTAGACAAGGATGTCTATGAGATGAGACACTTACTATGCAAAGACAAGCATGAATAGTGTGATTTCAGATAGGAATTCATAGATGTATGTATTCACAAGCGCTTGTCGCAATTCGCCTTTGGAGTCGTGCTTGTCCTTGCATGGCATGTGAAGCATTATATGCTGTTTACTATGAGTTACCCTGCCTTATATGTGGAAGGCTGGTGGCCTCTAGTTGCCAGGGCAACGCATACAAATAGCAAAAGGTCTTTAATGGGTGATTGAAATGCGACAGCTCACCTAAGCCAACATTATTAATATGTATGTGGAGTATCATCTATGACAAGCACCAAATGTCAGGCGTCTGAGAGTGATCTAGGAAGCTCGTTCCCTGCTGGCGTCGCATTTAACCTCTCGCGGCAGAACTCTGAGGGACGGCAGGGGGGAATAAGCACGGGATTGCAGTCGTAGTGTGCGCACTCTGGGAGCCGTCCAGGCCGGGATAAAGATCTAAAGCCGAGGCAAATGACGTTAACAGCCAAACATTAATACCCATCAATATGTATGAAGCTGAGCATGTGTAGAACTCGAACTTATGAATTTATGTATTAAAGGATGTATGTATGCATCTATACACGGTTGCAGAATTCATATGCATGGAGATGTGTCTCTGGACACATGTTGGGAAAGGGTCAGTGGCACAGTGTCTTCACAATTTCAAATAAAAAATCATTTTCGGTAACTGAAATAAAATATTGGTAACACTTTATTTTAAGGTGACATAGTTACAAGTTACTATATGTACTTACTATAGTAATAACAGGAAATTGTGTATTTACAAGTAACTAACCCTAACCGTAACTCTATTGTATGTGGTTAATTAATATTGCTCAGTACTTATTTGAGTAAGTACAATGTAACCACGTCGCCTTAAAATAAAGTGTAACCTAAAATATAAATATAAGATATAAATATAAGAACTTGAAAAATGAACTTGGCAACTAACTGAAATAAATAATTTAAGGTGAAGTAATAAGGTTAGTAAAACTCAAAAAAATATAAAAATGAAAAGAAAAAAAAACATAAAAACTGAAAATATAAAAATAAAAGCTAATTTAAAATATCAATAAAACTATAATAGTAATTATAATAATAATAATTCATAATAATTAATAATTATTTTAACTCATTATGCTTTCTGAATGATAGATAAGACAGTAATAATACGGCCGGGTAAAAAATATCAAGTCATGCTTTACCTGTGTTTGTGGTCTGAATTAAAAAATTTGAGTACTGCAAAATAATGGCAAGCAAACAAAAATGTTTTTCTATTAAGATGTTGAGCCATAATTTATCATTTTATATTAATTTTGCATAATGTTACAATAACAGTTTTACACAAGAAATGCAATTTAAGGTTTACTCAACACAGATCAGGATTTTGGTTGTGTTGAATAATATGTTAAATATATAGAAAATGAACTGCATAGTTTGAGCACATATTAACAATTTCATAATATACCTAGTTAGAAGGTTCTCATTACTTTCATAATGTTAAAAAAGGGCCATTAATAACTGGAATATCCCCAAATATCTCAGGATAGAATCGTAATCTGAAACAAATCGAGAATAACGGAAAGTCAGGATAAAGGTTATTGATAACCAGCTCTAATAAATAAACCAATTCAGGTTTCCATCTTACTGATGAAATAGGCTGCAAACACTACATTAATGTGCTTTAAGCCATTGCACTCGTTTGTTTATCACTTCTCTGAGACATCTGTTGGTCTCAGGTAAACGCAATCACACCGCTTGCGTGGAAAACGAGCCACAAGACTAGCAAAGCATACTCTCGTCTTTGTGGTAGAACAGCTGCTGCGATCAAGCTCCATCACCCCGGGGCAAAAACAGCAATCTGGCTTCTGTTTGTTGGAAATGGCATGGGACATCAGTACTCATCCGATGCTGAATCTGAACAAACACAATTCTTTCTAACTGCCACTGAGCGTTGTCTTAAAGAGTTAAACTGAGCAGGAGACTTCATCACTCGGATGCAAAGACCAGAAGTGATTTTATTATTTATTCATAGCATCATCAAGATACCAGTTCTCCTAAAAACAGCAGTGGGGAAATATATAGGTAAGCTGCCAAGACATGCAAATTAACCTCATTCCTCCCACAGGGATCGGCAATGATGTTTTGCAGGGCTGCGCATCCTCCACAGCTCTTTATTAGTAATCCACTGACTTCTTCCACTTAACTTCAGCCGTGAGGGCAAACATTAAATCTTGTAGCATAATGTCGAAATGAGATGCCAAAAGCAGCAGGGAGGCGGAACAAAGTCCTCACAGGTTGAGACTCGATGGAAGAAACAGGTCCACGGTGCAAAAACAGATCTTGCCTCAGGGTCAACCATGTTTAATTGTGAATATGCACAATATTATTAATATTTATTTATCAATTCTTGTACCACAGGTTCACACAATGCATATTTCACAAATAAATATCAACTCTGACAGGAACAGTCAATATGGAAATGTCAAATCCATTACTTTCAAGGTGCATTTTGCTCCAGGGGGGGGCCATTTTACACTATCATAGAAAACATTGTCAAATTTGAGAAAATGTCAAATTTGGGGGGATTAAAGCTGCAACAAGTTGAAAGGCCAAAGGGTGAGGGTGGTTTCAAAACTGGTTCTTTACATAGACCTACGAGTGACCTAACTCATAAAGAGGTGGAACACTTTTTCAAGTTATTTGTTATAAAAAAAGAAATTTAAAAAAAGGGGGGGGGGGGTGTATTTTTGTTTGTTTGTTTAGGTAATCTTGACAATTTTCATAAATCCTTATTCAAATACCAAAAAACGACAGCGGTGTTTTTATTTTATTTTTTTCATTTTATTTTTTTACCTGAATAGAAACTTGAAGTAGGCTATGTACAGTAGTATGGAAACCTGTCATTGGGAAATTCTGCATTCTATTTGTGCCTTTATTTTTTGTGCACAGCTCACGGACTCCGAGGTTGTGGGTCAAAACCTTGCGCTGCCTATATAGACCGCATTTTGGGGCATCATCGGAACGCTCCTACGACGCATAAAATGCTTTTAGGTAGACAACCCACTCAGGTTTTGAAACACAGCTCGTGTACTGTCTTGAGTGAACTACAAAAAAATCAGTTCCACTGCCGTCCTGAACAGCTGCTTTGTAGCAAATAACAGTGTGCATCACCACCACATCAATATACCAAGAGCAGGCTGCCTATTTTTTCAGACCAACATCTGTGCGTCCAATAGAATACATTTAAGTTCAAATCAAGCAATTTAGTAACTTTTGCACATAGCGGTTAATCAGATTAAAGGTTATATTGAAGAACTTACCGGTACAGACATCTTGAGCTCCTTCTTTCAATCCACTACGAGCTTGATGCTGATGTTAACGGATCAGTTTCTTCCCCTCTAACGGTTTTTCAGCAGAAAACATCAATTTGTGTTGTTAGGATTCTCTCGGAGTCCTTCTATTCCATGTTGTCTATGGTAAGGGTGCAGTCCGAGTCTCGATGTTGTGAGAAGTTTATTGTGAATGTTTTAGATGTGTCTCCGCTCCACCTCGCACGAGCAGCGCTGCGCAGTTCACCCTCCTCTCCAGAGATCTGCTGCTGGGCTAGATAATAAAATGTTTTTTAAAAATAAAACGCTTCTCTTCTTCACTCGTTTTTCCCCCGTACAGTAAGGAATGACTCGCCTTTGGTTTGTCTGTATTGCGGTAGTGTACACACTGACACTTCATAGCACAGCTCGCGCTCCCCTCGCTCTCTCCCTATGATGGAATCATCAAGTTCTGTTTAAAGGTACAGTGTCCAGTTACCTCGCTGTGGATAAACACATATTATGCGCTCCGCTGTGAACAGTATAGCGTGTATTTACATTCGATGTATTTATGCCCGTTTCGTGGTATTGACCTGTTTATTGATACTGTTTACTCTCCCTTGTCTCACTAGAAAAACTACTTTTTTGTGCCTTACAAATAATACTTCGTGTTCGTGCATATACAAATGAATACTTGCAAATATATTAGCCTACATAAATTAGCTACCATTAACATAATTTAGTTAAAGAGTAGAAATCAGTTCAAATGTAAATCTTTAATCAAATTAGCTTCCCCTCCCTCTTGCAGCAACATCTCTCTTCTCTGAGGACGTGTTTACTAATGTCCAACGATCCAAACAATTCAAAGTCCCGCCCTAAATTTTTTCTTGCTTGAGAAGCCGTTTCACTCAGATAGGCTATATACATCAATAGGCATTGCATTTCATGTTGACTTTATTTATTAATGCCCAAAGTATGGGAGTCAGAGAAGAAAAGAGATGTGGGAATTTATTTAGTTTACGAGGGCACATGAATTAAAAAAAAAAAAAATGAGCACAGATAAATCAATATTCCGCAAAAAAATAATTCATTTTGATTTTCAGATAACTTTAATTCGCTGTGCGTACAGGCTGTACTCCCATACCTTGTCACTGCTCATACCAGATTTCGGCAATTATAGATAAATGAAAAAAGATTGTGATGACACTTGTGAAATTCACTTGGATGGAAATTTAGCTTTTGACAATGAATGCTTTTTCACTCAAATCACAGAGAACATCCCTTTATTGTTGAACAAAAATGTGGTAACTGGAAAATGTCTAAAATGTTCTGAAAGCCCTATTCACACCGTCAGCGACAAATTCATCCTGAAGCATTTGCTGAACATATGCTTGGAAAAACTACCATATCTGCAGAAATGAGAATGATTACAGTGAATAAAATATATAGTGAAAGTATATCTTCAGTAGCAATGTACCCATTAACATGATGAAACCACTTGCAAACATTCTAGCATTTGACTTTACAAGAAACACCATTAATAATGCAGATTGGCCAAAAGATGCTGATATCAACAAAATGTCTGGCCTTTCAAATTAGCTGATGCTGGATGATGTTTTAGGGTGGGGGGGTTACTAACAAAGATTAAGCACGTGTTCAAAAAAGTTTCAGATTAAACACCAAAAAGCTTCTCATCTACAATGGAATTCCCTTTAAGGAAAAAAACTGTGTGTTATTTCGGCAGACAGCAGATATGTGTTGTGGAGGACAATTAGTTTATAAGCAGTATCATTCCCAATGCTCCCACTGACAGCTATGCCATGAGCACTGTGAATGGCTTTTAATTATACAGGGCAACTGCGTGAAGGAAGTCAAAGGTCCCCTTCTTATCTTCAAATGTCTGTTAAATTGGTGTCATGACACTCCCTCCCTTCATCTGCCAACATTAGCCAATGTTGAGAAGGATAAAATACAGGAGAGGAGACCTTCAGAAGGAAATCTTTTTGGTGGGCTGCCAAACCAGTCCAAGGCTGAATTTGCTGCAAAGACAGAGAACAAAAAAAATCTCTCTCTCGTGGTCTGCAATTGGATATTAGCCATGAGCGGGTCCATGGGCAGAACTTGCAGATTTGGAACGCCCCTCATTCATCAACTTATACATCCACCCTCTGCTCATTTATTAAATATTTTGTGTAATTTGCTAATGTGGTAGTCTCTATTTAACACATTTGACCCATATTTAAATCCATTCTGCAAGATTCCACATTTTCCCGCAAAATTAGTGCCAAAAAACTCCTGCATATTCCATCTTTGGAATTCAGCCATTATTGACGAATTGGAGAGAAAGAAATACAAGAATGTTTAAAGGACATCAAGTGCTTTCGCAAATGTGCCATAAAAAATTGCAGCACATCGTACTAACCTTACAATAAAGTTCAGCAAGCAATGCACTGGAACTGTAAGGAGGAAAGCATTTTATTGTAGCTTACACAAAGGGAGTAAATACCCAGCAGTGTTTTGAAGCGCCTCTTAACTCTGGTGACCTGGTAAGAGGCATTTGGAACATTTTAGCCAGCTGTTATTTTAGATTCTCATCACAGTGATTGTTTATAATTGTCCTCTCAACAGCGCTGTCTATTTTTAAGGTTTCTGCCCCTGTTTGAAGTCATGCACTTGGTGACAGACAGATACACATGCCTGGAGGTAAAGTTTGTGCTATATATACGCTACAGGAATTCCGAGTGGACACCTAAGGCCCCGTAGCTCCATAAAGGTCTTTTTATATAGAACACTGCTAAGGGTCTACACCTCTTTAACAGCATTGGATCTATGGGTTCATTTGATTGGATCCATTTTGGCCTGCTTGCCTGACTCATATACGCAGTGCATTCTATCTAAATAATGCTAATAAATCAGATTTTAAAATCACTCAAGAAGTGTACTCAAGAAATGAAGGTAGATAAGATGAAAGAGAGGTGAAATGCAAGTACTGAAATACAGAAAAGGAAAGAAGTCTTGTGAGTGAAATTCAAAGTTGATGATAATGGCAGAGACAATTGCGAAAGGAAAATCAGACTTGTGTCATCAAAATGTCTAAGTGTAATGCAAGATGAAAGCATTGGGAAAATGGTAAAAGTGAAAGAAAGAAAGGGATGAAGGCATTATTTAGGAGCTAACAGCAGTGTTCAGACCCAAGAGAGAGAGAGAGTAAAATCAGGAAATCAGGAGAGGACAGGTGCATTTGAATAAAGATGAGGACGACAGGCTCCTCTCCACTCCTGAATACCATACACTTACCATTGACTTTGAGTGGAAGGGGGAGGACATGAATAAAAATGAGCGTGGTTACCTCTCTAAACTCCCACTATGCCTAGAGTGTGTTTATTCACATGGAAAGAGTGATTTGACTTGCGTGCATGTTTAAAGGATTAGTTCATCCGAAAATGAAAATTCAGTCATCATACTCACCCTGCAGGCTTGTCTAATCCAGGGGCTTTCAAGCTTCAACAAGGACACAAAAGCATCATAAAAATATGAAATGTATTTTTTATACATCTTGTATGCTTATATCAGAAGTCCTCTGAAGACTACAATAGCATTGAGGAACAGATTGAAGTTATGCCATTATTCATTGATAATGTTCCCCAGGAAGGTGAGTTTGATCAGGGTTTGAGCTAAACTCTGCAGAACAGTAACTCTTTAGGAACGGATTTGAGGAACCCGTGTTAGAGCCTTTGCAGCCCCTGTCCTCGTTCAGACTGACGGCAGAAGGTCTGGACTCCATAGAAGCTTTCATTGGCCGATGACCACTTAGCGTAAAGCAACCAATCAGAGTTTGTTGTGTTCCACGGCATGTTTAGGGGCAGGAAAATTGTAACGTCCATATCGCTACAATAAAAGACTGATGTGTAAAACTCTTGGACGCATTTTAAAGAGTCTATGCTGCGGACTTTACATACTTTTGGAAATCCAGCGTTTAGTTGATCCTGATAAGTGCTCATTGTCACAGTTGTAAAACACAACAGCTTGCTTCCATAAGGGGGTTTGGCATCAAGGCATCTTTTGGCGCTTTTCCATTACCAGTACCAGCTCGACTCGACTCGACTCGCCTTGGCTCGCTTTTCGCTCCGTTTTCCATTGCAGAAAGTACCGCCACAAATAGTACCCGATCGTCATAGCGACGCATTTCGTTCCTCGTTGCCTCATAAAGCTCTCGCTGGATCCTCTCTTCGGCAACCAAACAAAGGAATGTCTGCACCTCCTCGTTTGACCACGGCGTATTCTTCCGAGTTGCCATAATAATAGTAGTAAGTTTAGTAACTATCTCTGGCCAAACTATTTAAAAATGGCGGGGTTACTCTGGATACTCCATCTGGCGCGTGCAATGATGACGCAGATTCTCTGTGACCAATCAGCAGTCGGCATTGTTTTCACTTCACATTTTAGTATCGCCTTAGCTCGCCTCAGCTCGCTTAGAACCTCGCCGGAGGTGGTACGAAAAAAAGTACCCGAAAGCAGGTACAGGTACAACTTTTACACAGTGGAAAACCAAACAAAGGCGAGTCGAGTCGAGCCGAGCCGAGGCGAACTGGTACTGTGTAGTGGAAAAGCGCCATATGTTTCCAGGCGAACAGTTAAAGAACGTGTCACAAACTTCTCCCGGAAATCAGAATACATCAGATGACGACTTCGAAACTCCTGAAGTGTTTCCAATTTTGTGTGCCACATGCATCAGACGTTCAACCAACAGTCCGTGGGCGTCACGTCTGAGGCTGAGACTATGAGGCTATAGAGCTGGTAAGTCCCGCCCCTTCCGCTTACCCCGCTGGACCTCTAGGTTGAAAAATCGTCAATGCAAGTGAATGAGAGAAAATAATTATTTTCTAATCCCGTTTGAATTTTGCAATGAATGTGAACATATGTTGTCTGTGAATTTTTTATATAATTTTTCGTGTAAAGATTGCTACAATTTAGCGGGTAGAATTTTCATACGGTTAGACTTTGTGTGAGAGCACTTTGTGGACTACAACTCTTCGCTGCTTTCGACGCGTTTGACCACCACTAGCACACGGATCCCGCTAAACATGCCTGTGTCTTTGGTGCACTTCACCGCCTTCTTTCAGGGAGAGGACAAACTAGTTGAGCGTGGTGAAAACCACTTCATTTGTGGAGGGAAAATGTGTTATGCGGTGACGTCACATATGCGACGTGTAGTCTTTCTCGTTATGTCTATTCCACAACTGCTAGCCAAAGAATCATACTGTCAATCAGCCATCAACTTATTGCACGTGCTCGCACTCGTGCATTACACATGTAAAGTACAAGAGAATGTCACTGAACGTGATTCAATGCCCCAAAATACTCACGGTATATCTGAAACTATAGACCTATTTAGTGTTTGCAAACACTGATGACGTTTTTTGTGGGCAGAGCCTACCTGGTGGTAGAAAATTACAGTTCTGCAATAGAAATCTGTGGAAGCCACGAATAAAATAATAAAAACAGGTAATATAGAGTTTATATCTCACAATTCTTAGAAGGATAAACAGAATTGTGAGTTATACTCGTTATTCTGTCTTTTTTCCTCCGAATTGCGTTTATATCCCGCAATTCTGACTTTTTTTCCCCACAGAATTGTGATATAAACTCCGAACTCCGAGTTATAAAGTCCGAACTGGGAGATATAAACAAGCAAATGCTAGAAACATAGTCAAAAATTGTGAGATAAAAATCTTATAGCCTATGTTTAAAAGTTATGTAAAATGTTATAGGTTTAAATATTATTTCATGCTGTAACATAGCCTACGTATGTCCCCTATAACTGCATATGTGAATATTACCAAGACTTCCTGTTTCAAATTCATGCTTTAATAATAGTAGACTAATCATTGCAGGTTTCATCAGTCCAGTCTGTGACTTGCAACATGAACGTCTGCGTTTAGCTTCAAAATGTGTCTTCAACGACAGAATTCTATCAAAATGAAGACCATATTTTTTGCATTCCGATTCCGATTTGGCACAACAAAACATTTTTCTCTTATTCTGTGGATTTTGCCCATTTTCCTCCACTTGTTACCGCTATTTTTCTGCCACTACTGTCTGCGCGCAGCTGCAAGTCACGCAACTGTGACATCTAGTCCAAATTGGTCTATAGAATATATAAATCTGGCTATGTGATATGGTATATTTGAAACTATAGAATAGATCTGGCTATATGAGACTATAGTTTGAATTAACCCATTTGCATTAAACACTAATAATACAGTACAGAATGGCTCTTTCAGCATTATTGTGACCATTGTAAGCAATCATTTTTATGTGTCATAAAATGAAAGAGAGGCTCTCGGGAGAGCAATAAACATCACATCCTTTTAATTTTCCCGGCAAAAACATCCCAAGATAAAAATCAGTCTATACAGGCTTTTATAGACATCCTAAGAGGACGTGGAAAATCTAGTTTTTTTAAGTTTTGTTACACATGGACAACAATAAAGCAATTAATACATGAACATTCTTACATATAGCACCTTTAAGAGTACAGCGATGCATGGAGTGTCTGCAGAGTACATGCGCAATGATCTGATTGTTTCTGTATGCACATGAAGCTACACTTATTCATTTCTGTCTAGAATGAACCAGTTTATTGGTGTGAAACACAAAGACCACGGTGCCAGCTTCGAGAACATTGATTAAGTGAGGGAATTATGGCAGTATCATTGAAATTCCCACCTGCAGTGTCTGATGTCTGCACAGGACAACATCAGAGCACAGCGACTCATCTCCATTTGGGAAATAAGCAATGCAGCAGAGAGGCAGGGGACTGCTGTGGGGGTCAGCCATTATAGAAATCTGGATAGATGTGTGGAACATACTGAACATCCTTCTAAATGGTTGTCGAGCAGCAGGAAATGGCATTAAACAAACTTTGAGCCCACACAGGCCTACGCACAGGGAGAGGGAAGATTGAATTATGTAAACAAGACCATAATCTTCAAGTGAAAGGATGAAGTGCCGCCCATCCTATCAAAAGACCCAACATGGTATTTAAGGGAGATTAAGAATTTACATAAAAAACAAACAGTACAGCAAATTAGTCTGAAACATACATGACACATACTTACATAGCAATAATAATCTAACCTAATCAATAATAATCTAACATCATTAGAGGGACACTACAAATATTCCTCTCAATTTACACTGTTCAAATGTTTGGGTCTGTCTTTTTTTTGTTGTTAAATCTCTTGTGCTCACCAATTTTTGCTGAATAAAAGTATTCTTTAAAAACAAAAATATTACTGACGTCAAATTTTTGTTTTCCCATTTATGACAAACCAGTATTAAAACATTAATTGAGCGTTTTAAAAGATCTTGCATATTATTATAGTTTTGAAAAGGGGAAGGATCCATGCTCGACTCACTAGTGATTCAGAGATACGTGACTTAAACCCTGCTGATTCCTTTCCTAGATATTTTTTTTTTTTTTTTAAAGCAGTCCAGACAGTGGTGGAGATGGAGCGTAGGGCATCAAGGGGGGCATAAGCTGGCAAAGAAAAGGAAAAGCCAACCCTTAGAGAGGAGGTGGAGCCATTCATTATTAAGTCGGAGTAATTAACAGCAAGACATGGTTCATTTAAAAAGAAAGTGTCCAAACCAACTGACATGATTTATTTCTGTCAAACAGTGAAACACGATTAAAATGACGGCAGGGTAATTACCATACAAGCACTCTTAGCAAAATAAATTCTCAAGACAGTAGTAAGTATACATGGGGGAAAAAACAAAGACAAATGCGCCCTTCCATTTAACCATCAAATAAAAGAACAAGGTTCCTGAATGCTTGTGCGTAGACAGCCTCAAAACAGGATGCAATATTGGCCGTTAATATTACGAAAAGCAGAACAAAGGGTATGAATTTGTCAGAACAAAGATATGAATTATGCTAAATAATTCAGTTTAAGCTGAAAAGAAAACCCTTATCTGAGGATCTTGATGAGGTTTTCTTCCCCATTAATGTCACTCTCGTTGAATGGTTAGGTGTGTCTGACGTACTTCAGCGGATTGTAAAATGGGGTTTCTGAGGAAAAGTCCTTGAGAAGACAAACATCTTGAGCAGTTTCTCTTTCATGTTGAAGACGACATGCAATATCGGACAAAGGAATTGTAGAAGAAAAAGATGGTGTGGGTGCTGTGTATGAGCAAACATTTGATTGTGAACGCAGACCAGTTTTTGGAGCGTTGTTACAGGCCAGGGATCTGAAAAATGTTTCCACCTATATGACGATAAAAACCAACAGTGTATGCAGGGCGAATGTGAATATGGGAGTCTGTGTTGTGATCAGTGAATGTGTCTGCTCTCTCCTCTTGTCACCGTTTCATGTTGTTCAGACGCACGCTCTTCTCCAGCTCAAACTGCCGCAAGTCCACTCTCTCTAGGAAGTTCTTCCGCTCCACGTACCTACAGACACATGCAGCAGAGAGAAGAGATGGTGAGGACGCGGAGATAATGGTGAAGGAAATAAAGCACATGCACACAAGCACTTGGCAAGAATGACAATGACACAAACACCGGGTCTTGCTGTTTCTTGTGTCTGTGTGAGTGCAATGACTGCATATGCTGAATATCATCTTTCCCATTGTGTCTTGGAACGAAGCACAACAACAGTGAGTGGGGACAGTGGGGTGTTGGTAAATGTCAGCTATTAAGGCACTCAGGTGGTACAGTGATTTCACACACACATATTTGTTTGCTTTTTTTCGGCATGCTCGCTCCACAATGCTACTTCGTGTCACAAGTGGTCCGCAACTGCGTGGTTCACCACATTTTGGATGTCTTCCTTATCTGACATACCCAGTTCAGGTTTTGAAACATTTACTCAACCCTGGTGTTGTTCCATACCTAGTATGACTTCAGTTTTTCTGCAGAACACAAAAGATATTTTGAAGAATGTTTCTGTTTTTGTTCATACAATAAAATTCAATGGGGTCCGATTTCATTGTGTAGATTTTAAAAAGCAACAACACTGAGATGTTTTTAAAAAATATCTTATTTTGTGTTCCACAGAAGAAAGTCATTCAGGCAATGCCATATAAAGGTAAGTTGAAAACAATCAAAGGCCAAAATTTGTCTCAGACAGCAAAATAGTGGCTTTAGTGAACCTGTACCCATTAGATGTCGGAGGTTATATGTGCATGTACTCAGCCTCCCTGTTTATTCATTGTCATTACAAGACTCGCTGATACTCCATGTGAGAGCAGGTGCTGAGAACAAAGAAAATAAAACAGCCCTTTCAGGCTGACATCATTTGGTTTTGTGGTTTTCCTCATAATAGTCTGGGTTCAGGTTCAGGTTGGCTGATGATCAGCAGAGAAGGGCATCTCCTACACAAAGCTTTATGTGAGGTCTAAATGAATTGTTCTGGAGAGCAGTGTGCACACTAGGAAAACCCTTGGAGCAGCCATGTGATGCTTCGGAGCAGAGACTGAACATTTTATTAGATATCATATCACGCCCCTACCAATGATGAAAAGAAGACAGAGAGCAAAAACTGATTGCCTGTGTCTTGTTTGAAGTCCTAATGGGATCTCTATGAAACGCACACAAACACCCACATACTCAAAAAAACAACAACAAAAAAACATATAGCCTTTAAACCAGATTGTGTTTTGTTTTTTACTCTTTTTTTCAAGTAGGCATAAAATAAAATTGTACCTATTTCTAAATGCTATTGATCTTATTGAGAACAATCCATCCATGCATACGTTTTATTTATTTATAATAAATAAATAAAAATTGCCCTCGTAATCTTTAATCAAAATATCATAACCAGACTTTCCAGTGAAATGACAGATTCTCTCTAGACTTTTTCAATAATTTAGTCCGCTTAAACCTTGCCCCTGCAAGCTCATGTTCATATGCCTCAAGTGCAACGGCCACATCTCAAAATCCAAACAACCGATAAACTGTCCCTGCCCTACATTTGTACTTTTTTGATATTCTGTTGCTCTCGAATGTACATCACATTATGGAAGAAAAGACACGTTGCTACTTCAAGTTCATCGCGACTTTAATTTTGGTTTTTTTTCGGGGAGTTCTGCCACTGTGGTGCTTGAACATAATCTTCATGATCAGTTTTGTGCCATCAAAAGTCATAAATTACTAAAACAATGTCCTTGTCTCACGCGGATTCTTCAATTCTTCAAAGCCAGCCTTTTTGAAAAGAATTGCATTATGCAATTACTGTACATTGTGGATTACTGTACAAAAAATTAAGTTCAAAGTCAAACAGAGTCACAATTCATGTCCCTTCCGCTGTTATTTCCCAAAGTTGGGATTTATCACGAGGATCTGCAGAGCAGTAGGTGCTACAAACAGCCAGGAAAAGCATTTTTCCACATTTCACTCTTATAGCTTGTTCTTCTGGTGTTTAGTAATAATAATAATAATATGTATCATACTATGTTTATGAACACAATAGCCATCTCTGAATGGGTAAATTTGTCTTTTTCCACTGAGGAAGAAGTTTTCAAATTCAAAAAATTATAATATAGTATGTTTCAATAGTACACTGAATATTTTAGAATTACATTTTTTATAATATAACAGTAAAGAACTTATCTGAAGCAGCAGAAAGGAGCAGCAACTGGCTGTGGTTGAGACGGAAAGATTCTAGCTGGCTGTGTACAGGCCGCCACGCTACGGTTTCGTAGAATTCTTGAAAACTTGAAGAGTCTGTTGGTTTACGTTCCTGTGGATATTGCGTGAATGACGGCTGGTTGGGCAGATATTGTGTTTTGCGGTAGGTGGTATGCCATACGGAACCGTTGCGACTGAAACTGCATATTAACGCACCAGTGGGGCTCGACAGCCTTAGTCAAACAGGTTGGCGCGTATGGTTGGGTTGCGGAGAGATTGTGAGATTGTGGTTAGGTCTCAGCAGCAGGAGGGATGTAGAGGTCAGTAAGCTGGACTGAGTTGAGTGGGGGACGGAGGGGGGTGACTCTGGGACGCCAGAGTCACTGTCGAGCCCTCTTGAGGTGTCGTGGGCTAGTCGACGAAACACTGAGGACGGAAGGTGCCCACTTGAAGACCCTAGAGATGTCCCCTACTCGGCTCAATCCAGACGGTTGTCGTGCTGGTCCTGTAGTTGCAGCCGTTAACGCCGGACAGAAGGGGAGTCACACCACCATATGGAAAGAAGCGTAAATGGATGGAGAAGCATAGTTTATTGTAAAGCTACGTCTTAGTTTTGCTTATCTTGGCGAAAGCCGAGTACAAATCAGCATGAAGTTTTAACATCTACTCTCGTGTAATGGAAATCTTAATTAAGAAACAGTTTATTTTTCATGGTTTGACCCATTTAAGAGTTATGTTAGTTTAAGAGTAAACTAATTAAGTTCCGTAAACATTGTGCTTTCTGCCTGCAATTTTTGCAGAGCACAATCTGTCACACGGCTGCTCCGTTTCCCCTAAATCCCAGCAGAGGGTCACTCAATCCCAGAGTGCTCTGGAAGCTCTGATGCCCAACCAACCGTTTGCCTCCAGAGACTTGAGACCCTGGGTTTACCAACTGGGTGAGCTCTGACAGATCTGGGTGCATTTATTGTCCTACATTTTGTGAGGAAATAGAGAGAGAGAGAGATCTGCGACACGAAAACAGTCTCACACTGAAAACAGCCCTTGCAGTCCTCTGGGCATATAGTTTGGCCTAGCGGCATGCACACTATGCTCTTTTCCAGTCTGTGCGTCCTCCACACCCTTCAGCGGCCCTCCTCCTAAACCACATCCCTCTCAGAGAAACTGAAATATGGAAACAGTGGCAGACCATAATTTCTTCTGCTTTATTTTTAAACCCCCAGGCCAGGTTTTTAATTTAGTAACTGTTCCACTCCCTACAACTGTCTGATGGAGAACTAACACAGTTCTTTTCATCTATTTATCAGAGAAGAGGAGCATCAGGCTATTTAAAGAAAGCCAGAGCATCAGTGCTGTGTGTGCAGTGGGATTTAAAGGAGTAGTTTAAATGACAAACTTTTCAGGTAATCACTTGTTTCAACCCAAATTCTATGTTTCGGTGCCTACAATGAAAGTCAATGGGGTCCAAAACACTGATCCAATTTGCTTTCATTGCATGGACAAAAAAAAAAAACATTTTTCAAAATATATTTTGTGTTCTATAGAAAAAAAAGAAAAAGTCATACAGGCTTGGGATACCATGAAAACATCGAATGCCGAAATGACATCATATCATCATCCCCTCAAGACAAGATGCAATGACTCTCCTCCCTTGTTTTTACACCAAACGCATCTGGGAGCATTATCCCAGAGGAATGTAGGATGGGTAACTTAGGTGACAGGGTTAGTATAGAGGGGTATTCACAACTCTGAGGAAAGCAAGACAACAACAAATTTGATGCACTACTGAGATAATCTACAGCCACAGCTGTGGCATGAAACCCAAAAGAGACCTTGCAATTACTCACCTCCAGATACTCTTATTCCGCCAAAAGATTTCACTTCCTTCTAAAACTCACTATGAATGAAATCTTATTATGACCGTGGAGCAAAGAAACAAACTATGTGTGTGTAGATCTCAATTATGGTCTTGTTTAATTTCTGAAGTCTTCTGTGGTCTAAAAACTGATCTCTAGATTACTGGTACTACAGTCGGTCCTGACAGGGTAAGTATACTTAATCTATGAACTTTATTTTCAATCCCTTAAACATAATAATTTGCATCATAATGTTGTAATTTGCCAGAAAAGACCATGCATTTAGGCTTGTGGTAGTAACCCTGGGGACGAGCAAAAATTAGCTTGCTATGTAAAGAAACTAAGTACCTACTCTCCATTACAGCTGGCGTAAACTTTTTCATGGCTGACTTTTAGGTATTAATTATACATTTGAGATGAACGTGGTGTGTTGAGGGGAATCGATGAAGGGTTATGTCTCTTGGATCAGATATCATCAAACTGAAACCCTCTCTCAGAAATCCCATACTTAAAATTAGGGAAGGGAGGGTGAGAACTGCATTTCTAAAATGATTTTCCTCTTGCATCGTTTATTTATGACTACTATGATGGAATAAAAAAAAGGAAGGAAAAAATGGATGGTCTGTTCATGTGTTCAGAATCGTGTATCTTGTCAGTTTTCTGCATATGTGCTTGTGTAGGAGAGATGTGGGCGAGAATGTGACCTCGCAGTGCAAGTGTCTGCCTGCACACTTCTGATTGGTCGATCAGGAATCAGCCAAAACTCTACAAAGATACAATTGAGTTCAAAAGAGTCCACTTGTGACAAAGCCTCGAATTAGAATTTTCATATTTAAATTGGATTTTCCCATTACAAATGATTTTTTGTTTTTCTGAATAGGAATTTGGGTAAAGCGTCTAATTTGAAAAGTTAACAGGAATTTCAAAATGTTCTAATATGTAGGTTTAATGACAGCAGCACTTGAGCTGCATGAACTCTTCAAGTTTGTGTCAAACCTGATGATCGTGTTCTTCAGCATGATCTGAGAATTATCCTATCTTGAGCTTCAATGGAAGAACATCTGACTGTCTGTACAAAGTCACATTATCGATGTCACAAATGTACTTATTTGATTAGTGAAATAGTGCAGAATAATAATTTTCAATTACACATTTTATTGTTTTTGCATTTTTACTGGTTTTAAACCCCACTTAGCTACACTCTGTTTCAACTCCAGCTCAAACAGGAACTATGATTAAACTGCTCAAATAAAAACAAGAAGTCAATATTCCAAAATGGTATTTGCTTCCTGTAAACACTAGTTTAAACGTTTTGACCCTGGTTTGTATAAGCCTTTTTGGTCCAGCTTTGCACCATCAGCTTTTGAGTAAAGCTGAAATCCTACTCCTCACCTCCTTCTCCTCAAGATAGCCATCACAGGCAAGATAAGCAGGCTTAAATGAAGTGCTATTGGCTTAGCTCCCACTCCAATCGTTCTGCTGATGTACTGAATACTGTTCCTAGACCAGTCAGCAGGGCAGTGTTAATCTCAAAATTACAGACAAACACACATTTATTCTTCGCTTTTTGTTTTCATCAATAATATCGAAGATGGGAAAGAAAACGTGACGATAGTTTTGAAGACAAATGTAGAAAGAATATGATTGTTTCAAATAACCCAACCATCGTCAATAATGTATATGTAATGTTGAACTGCTTGAGTTTAAGCTGAACAGTGAATGAACACTGGTAAACCGAAGGCCTTTACTGTCTGCCGGATTAATAAACCATTATAGTTGATTTAAAACTGACTAAAATTAATTAATTAAAATGTAGGGAATTTAAAATTCAAAAATGATCATCAGGTTTTACACAAACTTGTGCAGCTCAAGTCATTATAGACCCCTGTGGTGAAAATCAGGTTTTTAATGTTATTTATATGTCTGTGGTGTTTTTAACAAGACAAGCCATGTGAGAATTTATCAGTCAAAAACCATTGCTGAGTATTTTCTCCTTAAAACTGCAGTGTACCAAAGACAGTCTACAAAACCCGGTTTGAAACTGCCACTGTCACAAACATCTAACCAATCCCGTCAACATGCGGGGCGCAACTATTCTCCACTGACTTTCCATGATGTTCAAAGCTACTAGTTTTTAGAGGCAGCTGCCTGATTCTGAGATGGCGAATAGGGAACCTGGATTATGTAACATTAGCAACACATTATTAGCTGTTTGATAACTAAAGCTAAAGGCTAATCATATCGATTACCGTTATGTGTCCGGCGTTGTAGAGAGCGATAAAACACATTTCTATTCTGATACATCAATTTGTAGACAACCCTGTATAATTCGCTTTCTCTTCTACTTCTGGATCAGTTTCTGGTTTAAACATAAAGGGCTGAATTAAACCAATATTTCCTCATGCCATTGTATGTTTACTACAGTTGACCAAGTTGATCAGGTAGTCTGAGCTGGTGTGATTGAGAGGAGGCAGGGACTAATTTGCAAATTCATGGATTGGCGTATTCTAAATGAAGCAAGGGTGTAGAGTTACAGTCAAGCTATTTTAAGGCATGAAGAAAAAGCTTTTAAATAGGCCATTTTGATTATCAAAGATAAGTTTTAAGTCAAAATTATTGACTGCAGGTGGACTTGAAAGCAAAAGAGGACAAAGACATTCTGAAATTCATGTAATTTTTTTAGTTCAAGTTTTACCCAAATTGCTGAGATATCATTTGTAATGGAAAAAGCAGTTTTAGATTAGAAAAATGTTAATTAAAAACTTGAACATTGTATATCTCTTCATTGAGTTCATTCTCAATCGACCAATGAGAGGTGTGCGAGCAGACACTTGCACTGCAAGGCCACATATTTAGCACCCACATCTCTCCTACACATGTATGAGCACGTATGCAGAAAACCAACAAGAGACAACACAGATCTTTTGACAGAGAAACAGTAATTTCCAGTCTTATAATTTGGCCAGAACAGAATATACAAACTTTTTTGTACTTGGCAAAATTTCTCTATATGCTCATCCCTAGTCAACCGCAAAGGTCAGCGCGTGTTAATCAAATGCATGTGCAGCATATGGTTTTACCCAAAATACATTCATTTCACCGTCCAGTTAACTTCAGTGAATAATTAATGAATTGTAATGTATGATAAAAATGGCAGTGAAATACTATACGCCAGCACGTTGTGGCTTCAAGCACTTAAGACGCTTAATGATATTTATTCAGCTCTGATGAAAATCTCGGAAGCTAGTGTGAGACACTAATGGGAGATAATATGAGATGATGTGTTTGTCTGGGTCACTAATGAGGCTTAAACATACCCTTCTTTGCCTCGATTATGGATTGCCAGCTCGTCTGCGATGCCCTCCTCTGATTTAAAGGCATCCCAGTCCATCTTAGACTTCTCCAAAGTGCTCATCTTCTGCTTTTTGCTCCCGATGCGATTCAGGATGCTCCCCATGCCCGCTGGCCTCTTCACACTAGAGGAAGGAAGATAAACATATTTTGGATCAGGATTTTCAAATATTATAAATGGCTGTTCTAACCGGGAAGGGCCAAAACGTGTTTTTAAAGGCTCCAGTGACATTTTGGTTGGATTTTAAAGTGGAAGAAACACAACATCTGCATCAAAATATTTTTTTCTAATAAATGCAGGAAGATATAAAATAATGATCCAAAGTCGAGCTAGAGGCAATCTTATGTTGGCGATAACATGGCTGGTGTGTTTCTCGCAACGTGCTGCTGGAACAAAGATGTGTTTTGAACGTAACCAAAGTCATCTTGACACTGAGGTTGCGCTTGGCTGCAGTAATGAAATGTTAAACGATCTGTGGAATGAAAGAGCTGAAGAGTCCAGACCAGCGGCCCTCCCTCTCATATGTGGGTGCCAGGGGGAGTGAGTGAGTGTGCTGGGGGTCTGCAGGGGGAATAAGGGCCGGCAATAGGACCTTGGGGTGCATTAGAGGGTACCGGGGTGTCCAAGGACAGACGGTTTCACGCTCAGGCGAGTCATAGGAGAAAGCCTGCCATGAGGAACGAGAAGGAAAATTGTGTGTACGTGTATGTGTGTACAGGAAGATGGTACAATTGTTTTCAGAATACGAAATTAATGAAAGTCTAAATATAAAAAGTTTGGGTAAGGAGGTGTTGCAAAATCGGTTTAAAAATACAGTGAATAATCACAATGTCATGTCATTACAATTAAAATCCCTTATATAAATCAATTGTTAACTGTCTTGCTTCAAGCTGAAAATAAAGGCTGTGAACTTGTATTACTTCACTGCAGGGTAAAAAGATCACTGTGATCAAGTCGATTTAGCAGGACTTGTGTGTTCAAAACGCACTGTACATGCGCACACAGAGGAATGATGCGATCCACAATCAGACACACATGACTAATGTCTAAAGATCTGCCAAAATGCATTAACATCTGTGCGAACAACATTATTCAAGGAGCAAAACAGGAAGGAAAAAACATGCAAGAGGGAAAAAAAGGAAACAAAGAGGAATGTTTTAACACATCTGCAGGTTTAATTTAATGCCAGTTCAATTCCTAGAAGTAAATAGGTTGACAGGAAATCATTCTTTATTATTACCATTTTCCACGTTTTACAATAATAGTCAATTCAAAAATAGTAAGACCAAAAATGTTACACAAATAAAACCTGTATTTTACCTTAAGTTATTCAAACTTTGTCAGCTCTAGTACCCTTTGCATTCGTTGGCTATGTTTAATCAATAAAAGTAAATTATTTAAATGTTTTATTAATTATACATGAATATTATCATGTTTTAATATAATATTGTTTCATATAACAGCTGTTTCAGTGCAGATCTTTTCCTACGGTAGCCGCCGTCTAGCCAGACAACACACAAAAATAATGTTGGGGAGCAAAAAAAGGCAGCGTAAAGTACAAATCAATATTGGCAAAATCAATACTGTAATTATATTCCCTCCGTTATAGCTGCATCCACAAACTTCCAAATTTCAAATGGGGAGACTTGACTGCTGCACGATTGAAGGCTTATTAAAGTCACAAATATTGGCATTAAAACAATAAGATTTCACAAAAAGATTTTAATATGACCAATTAACAATTTAAACTACTTCACACTGACTATGTAGTGGGGGTTTTTTTTTATGTAGAGGCTCATTTCTAAAATTTGGATGGTATTCAATTGTCTTTTTAGAGACTGATGAAAATTTAATGTGTGAATACTTTGTAAAATACAAAAAAAAAAAAAAAAAATGTATACAGTACTTCTAAATATTTGTTTATTTTTGCCACGCAACAGCAGTACATTTACCTGTCCATTCAAAAGTAAGAATTCAAAAATAAAAAAAATTCAGCCGACGCAAAGCAGTAGCCCTGCCCACAGCAGATTCTTATTGGTCAAAAATTCCGCTCCATATATCTGAATATTAAACACCAACTATTCTGATCTGATTAGCTAATATTTTTAGTGTAAACAGACAAATTACTATAGTTCAATCACTGGAAACCTGTTGTATCTGGTTAGAAAACTGAAATCATTTCAGTTCCAACATATCTTAGACACATACATCTAATATATATATATACATATACACAAACATACACGCAATATATACATATTGCATACAACAGATAACATAACAGCTTAGTCAACAGAACCAGTATGTACACACAGAGAGAAACAGGAACACTGCTTAAACCTATTCTGACAGGGAATCAATATACAATCAGGGCTCAACTGATAGTCAATCCTGTGTGCCATGCAGCAGCGTCGATGTGAACGTTGGGCCGGGAGCCAGACCAGAGTACACAACGCTGGGCCAGAATGCTAAACGCGGAGCCAAGGTGACTGTATCCTGCTTCATCAAACATAGTGCTCAAAAAGAGAAAGATGATGTAACAGATATACTGTACATTCAACACACAGTCACAGGCCAATCAAATTCAATACACTGGACTATATGCCAACATGGGCACCTAAAAAGCAAAAACACACACAAATTGCCACTAAAGCCTAACGGGAAACAGGACGTACAGGGCAAAACAGTAGCCCAGAAGTCTGTGAATCTAGTTGTTTATTTGCAGTCAGAGTTCTCCCATGACCATAGTCTTGTTATCATCTCATTTAAAGGCACACACACAGTCAACGTGTCCGAGCACTTTGTGGAGGGGGAAGAAAAGGCTGGAACATCCTATTGCGATTCCTTTCAAGACAGGAAGTAGATTCCCCAACCTCATTATTTTGGTTTATGTCATCGTAAGTTCACAGAGTGGCTCATAAACTCACCATTGAACAGCAGTTGGTTGACAAGTCTCTTCATCTCCACTCTGAGTAATTACAGCCTTTGTGACATCATAAGAGAAGGCACTACAGGGGCATCATGGGAGATGGACGCCAGCTAACCCCGAACGCTTCATCTCTATTATATCAGCCTGTTTGCTCGTACTCATCTAATGGGCTTTTTCCGCCTAAGGCACGGATACTGGCCTAGTTGCAGACCAGATATTTTTGAGCAAGTGCGGGATTGGGCCTGTGAACCGCAGCTATAAACCCCACGCACACGTCCTCCATGAGACCCCAGCACAGCCTCACTGACCCACATTCTGTCTGACAAGCGGAAACTGGAAGAACAGCCAGAGGAGAGACTGCAGGGTTACACAATACACATCAGATCACACAGCGTTCACACGCACATACTCCACACGCATTTAAACAGATCATGTTAATGTAGCTAATGCTAATGTTTTCACTCGTATCTGCACAATACAAAATATATACAGTAAAACGAGCTACCAACACTCATGCGCATGTAAATACACAGCAAAGATCAAATTTAAGTTGCTATTAAAAACTTCCACAAGCAACACAACTCTAAAGTTCAAGGAGGTCTATAATAACTAGAAATCTGTTGTAGAGACTTTAAGGATGAACCAAACACGAATTAATCTTTCTAATCTCTCATGGGATTTATTCAAATGTGATTCAGCATTTCGGATCTGAATACCACATTCCAAAGTCACAAGACTGGCTCCAAATTGTCTAGAAAACCCCCCAGAGAAGACTTTTATGGCCCAAGAGATAAGCCTAAACAGGAAGAACGTTGTCACTGTCTCATCCTTAAGCAAGACAAAGCTGCTCAAAAATGGTGAAACAGGCCTGACCACCAAGGGGCCTGACAACCTTTGACCTCCCTCAGCACCACCACTGCTGAGCAGGACAGCGATGTAAAACAGACCACGCTTTCACGGAACGTGAGAGACTTACAGACTTCACATATCAAACCAATTAAAACTCACGCAGAACAATGCTCCGTGGACTTAATCAAACATCATAATTCTTGTTGTTCCTACAATTCTTGTTTGTATTATGCGTAGATCACATATAAATCATGTAATTGTGATATAACTGTGTGTATGGATGAAAGAGTATCGTGCTTCCAATCAAAAGAATCGTATGTCTTTAATTCAAAAGGTGGCTTGTTTGAAATCTGTGTAAAATGTTTTGTATGATTATAATAATCTATAATGTTTAAACTGGGGTCTCTTGTTCTCTGCTAAGTGCTGGAACCCAAGCAGATCCCAGATAACGATAACTAGGAACTCGATCCACCTCCTAAAATGATGCCATTGTCTCATTGGTCAGAATTCTCCAAAAGAGGTTGGACTAACGTTTAAGTTAAAGACCCGAACAAAGGAGTTAGAGTAAGAGTTAGAAAAAGAAATTCGGTTCAGAGAGCAGTTCAGGGTTTTGAGTTCGGTTCGGTGTTGAATTAAGTTTGCGCCTCTCTCTAGCAACAGCAAGAGAGTGTTCCTGTTCGTGCTTCTCTCTGAAAACACCAAAGAGCGTGTTCGCACGCTTCTACATCGACCAGACCAAATTAGACCAGCAGACAAATAACCCATCAAGATCGGGGTTAAAACAGCTCATTCAAGCCATCTAACTCGTCTTACTTTCATTTCTTCCTTTATTTTCTTGTTTTCGTAAAAGTCTCGGTTCAAAGTTAAGTTGCTGCGAAGTTCGTTTAAACGTCTCTCCTGCAACGCGCTTCAAACTGTAAAGACTCTTATTCGCCTGCCAACCACACGTGACCGGCTGTTCAGAAACTTCCATCCAGGCACTTCAAAGACAACCAGCCACACGGACCCGGTCGGGAAACCCCTTTGACGAAGCACCGCAAAAACGGAACTCCCTGAGCAACACAAAGACAAGCAAGTAACTTACTCCAGACTCTAACTGACTGGTGCTTTAAATGTAAATTGAATAACCTGTCTAAGAAACGAAGGTTTAAATTAATGCTTGGTGGTTCGTTCAGGTCATGTCTTACAAAGTGCATCTCACGTGAAAACTCACTCTCTCTCTCTTCCTCTGCGCCTTGTATGAATGCGTGTGTGTGTGATTGTGTTTAGACCTTAGTTTTATGTGTTTAGAATAGTTAATAAAGTCGTCATTATATTTGAAAAGATATTTGCCTTGTGTTGTGCTT